CTAAGCCCTAAGCCCTAAACCCTAAACCCTAAACCCTAAACCGTATACCCTAAAACCCCAAACCCCTAAACCCTAAGCCCTAAGCCTTAAACCCTAACTCCTAAACCCTAAACCCCTGAAGCCCCAAACCCTAATCCCTAAAATGCAAAACCCTAAACCCTGAAACCCTCCCTAAACCCTAAACCCTAAACCCTAAACCCTAAACCCTAAGCCCTAAGCCCTAAACCCTTAACCCTAAACCGCATTTTTTGGTCAATTTCGCACCAAGGTAGATGCATTTTTGGTCAATCTCGGACCAAAATGGATGCATTTGGGTCAATCTTTTTCAAATTTTTGGGCTGTTCCACAACTGGTGTTGTTCTTCCCTTCCATTTTGAGACTGTTCCCTGTCCCTGTTTCCACTTATTTTGATGTGTGTTCCTCCCTTCGAATTTTGGGTATTTTGGACTGTTTCCACTCATTTTGGTGTGTCCTCCCTCTCTTTCAAAATTTTCATTCTTTTCAAATTTGGGGTTACTTGTTGGGCTTTCCTTGAACTTTCCCTTTGGACTTTGTTTCAGCTGGTCGTCACCTTGGAACTTGCATTTGGTTGTGTTTGCTTGCTCACTTTTGGGCATCCGCTGTTGCCTCTCGTCACTTTCTTGCCGCAAAGTTTCTTGTTCCAGCTCCTGTGCAAAGCCAAAGTTGGAAGATTGCAAACTTGGAAGAAGCCAAAGTTGGAAGAACCCAAAGTTGGAAGATGCGTTTTCGCCCAATCAGAGGGTGCGGGAATTTTGGGTGTGCATCTTCCAACTTTCCGGCTGTCACTGTAGGTCCGGGCAAGGTGTCGTGGAAGTTCGAAGACGTGGATTCTCGATTGCAAGATGGTCCGAGCTGTCTACAGGGATATAGTGTGGGCCGTGCTTGCGGCCGTTGTCAGGACTCTCTAGCCAAGTCCTGGTTGGCCGAGATGCCGCAGCGAGCGGTGGACATCATAGTGAAGAAGAAGATTGTTCAGGGTGCCCAGTTGGTGAAGCTGGAGTCCGATCATACTCGTCCCGGGTTCAAGGATCGATAGGGATCAATTCTGTGCAACTGCGTCTGTACAACATGTTTTCGAGTGCAAGCTTGCAGGAAATTGGCAACAACTTTGTGTGGTTGAAGCCGGTGTGCACAAAGTACCCCCGCAGAGTGTCTTGGGCATGATGCTTCAAGCGGTTGTCCGAGTCGACACGGATGCAGCCTAAGGTTCCGTCAGGTTTCCTGTTGACGGATGCATTCTTGATACTTGACGAGATGTTGGAATTTGGCTTGCTGGTGCCCGGGCCGACCGACGCGAGAGTGACTTTAGCTGCGCGTGAAGCGAAGCGAATCAAGCGATGTCTTGGGGCACTGCGATCGCTATATCGCTCAAGTGTCTCGCTTGCGCACTCATGATACTGTGCGGTAGCATGTTGCACACTCGTATGTGGTATCTTTCAGATCATGCATAGCCCGTGGAAACAGAACAGACAGATATACGCAGACACATATACACACATGTGCTTGCTGAGGTGACAACTCTCCGGACGATCGAGTCCATGCCCTGAAGCAGCTTCTCGAAGCTTCCCCAAGAAAGAAGCAGGAGAGCGTCTTTGTAGCTTCATGTCGTCTCTGGGTTGAATAATATATCACGAAGTACTTGAGGGTTGTCCTTTGATATTTCGGATCTAGCCAGGACACCACGGACGACTCGGATGACGACTCCTTGGGCGGCTTGAGTCGTTCCGACGACAGCGAGGCCGAAAGTGAGAATCCCGAGGGCGAGCACGCTGTGGTACCATATCCGCCCCCCGTCTCGCCACGGCCTTCGGACTCTGATGAGGTTGAGAAGCATTCCTCCTCCGACTCAGAACCGGAAGAGAAGCACTCCCCTGACTCAGAGAAGATTGAGAAGATGTTCCGCGATGCAGAGGCTGCGGAGAAGCAGGACATAGAGAAGCACTCCCCCGACTCAGAGGACCTAGAGAAGCACTCCCCCGACTCAGAGGACATCGAGAAGCACTCCGACGAAGAGCAGGACGTGTGTGGGTCAGAGAAGCAGTCGGATCATGCTGACTGGGGCAGGGCCAAGTCGAGTGCCAACTTGGGCGCTCTGTGTCCGCCTGAGAGTTCTGACGATGATACCAGTAGCGCGAGCGGGGCCGACGAGCGTGCCTTGGTGGAGGTCAAGAACGAGGACGACGAGAGTGTGGCCGGCAGTGACAGTGGCTCCGATTCCGACTCCCAGGCCACCTTGGTGTTGGGTGAGTCCCGCAGGAAGAAGCAAAAGATCATGCCGGGTGACGTTGATGCAAGCACGCGGTCACAGATGGCTTCGCATGACTTGCAGAGCGAGTTGTTCCACGCAGGGCATCGTGCAGTGAGTGGCCGGTCGGCCAAGCCATCGTCGACCGGGATGAGAACTCTGCAGACCCCTGCGTGCAAGTCAAAAGGCTTGGCTAGCTTGGACGTCCTGACCCCGGAGCCAGTCCCCTCAATGGCGAAGAAGAAGGTTTCTTGTTTCGAAAGTGATTCATAGTGTTATGTTTGGGGAGTCGTCGGCTGTGAACCCTAAACCCTAAACCTTGTAAACCCTAAACCCGCAACCCTAAGATCCTAAACCCCTCAACCCTGAACCCAAACCCTAAAACCCTAAAGCCCTAAAAACCCCAAACCCCAAAAACCCTGAACCCTAAACCCCCTAAACCCCAAAGCCTAAAAACCCTAGACCCTAAAAGCCCTAGAAGCCTCGTTTAAAAAACATATTTTTAATCTTTCGATGCTTCAGATGTGCGAGGTGCCCAAGACGACGAAGCCGTGTGCGGATGAGAAGACGAAGAAGAAGCGCAAGCTTGCGTCATTCAAGAGGCACAATTCTCGAAAGGTGCTCAAGAAAGGGTTGAAGCAACGTGTCAGATCCAACATCAAGGCTTTGAAGGCTTTGAAGAAGAAGGAGAAGGCCAGGGCAGCAGAGTGCCCGGCACATCATGAGGCAGGGTCCGGTGATTCGGGTGAGGCTGTGACTTCGGATGATACGTATCATGGATACTGTTTGAAGCACCTGCCTCTTGCTACGCGTCCCCAGCTCAGAAAAAACACTGGGAAGCATAGCTACTCGCTGAAATCAGCGACGGGCCGTGGCACCATAGAGGTGCTGTTGCGGCATCGCGCGTTTATGGTTAAGATTGTAGATGATGCTGCTCCTGGCCCAAAGGGCCAAGTCAGCTGGAGCAAAAATGAGCCCGCAGATGCGTGGCAGATTGCCAAGGAGAGGGCGGGATACGTAGAGCCGTAAGCCCATTGCGAAAGAGTTGCGGTCAGGGTATGCAGATCTTGATATCACTGTCACTCTATAGGCCATCGTAGGCTTGTTGTGCAATCGGGCTTGGTCTTGGGCGCTCTCAATCGAGAGCAAGGGTGAGGCCACCAATGCATGTTAAAGCATTGATGGATAGGACTGGATAGGCTGGATAGGGCTGTGCTGCTACGGCGTAGGGCCATGCATCAGAAATGTTGCAAGGTGTTCGAGCAGTAACTACAGATGTCTGGGCATCATTACAAAACGGTCTGTCGATGCAAGGCCAGGTCGTGCAGGCCTGCCAGTTTTGACAATCCCGCGAAGAGCTTTGCTGCTTGATCCACGTTTCTGGGGTGCATTTCGCAGCTGATGTATGGGCTGCTGAGGCGAAAGAATAACAGTTTGGCATATCGAAAGCATCAGTAGTTTTGTCAAGATCTCAGTGCAGATTGGCAGCGATGTGATTGCTCTGTAGTTGTGCTCTTTGTCTGTGCTGGCTCCAGTCTCAAGGGGAAAGTTGAGACATGGCCTTGTGCCTGGGTTGGCAGCTTCGGCTGCCCAGACTATATAGTTTATGAAGTTAGCGCAGTGCTTCCGATTGCTGATAGCATCTAAATCAAAAGTTTGAACTTTCCATATTATCATATCGCCAATGAAGTCCTATAGGTACAGTAAGACGTATATCACTCTAAACCCTAAACCCTCAGCCCTAAACCCTAAGCATTATATTATATATATATATAGGTTGGGCTCGAGGTCTTGAAAGAAAAGGTGTACCTTGGTCTTTAGAAGTTTAAGGTTCCGGGCTAGTTTATTGTAGTTTTACAGAGAGAACCGAGTTAGGTTTATGATGGTGTTTTGGGGGTTTACGTCTCCCTCAGATATTCAGGCGATTGCACATGCAAGTCCTGCAAAAAGGCCCCCGAGGTTTCAGGTTAGTTAAGGATAAACAACCCACTTAGATTAGATCGTTTAGTCTCGTTTTTGGGGCTATAGGTTTCAGTGTCTGGATCAGGGTTTAGTTTAGCTCGTGGAATGGTGATGCAACCAGCGTGCAATCGCAACGGCTGGCAGATTTGAGCAGAGGTGGGTGGGGCTGTCATGTCGGCCCAGATAATCCGCGACTTGTATGGGTTCTGAGCTCACGTAGGATTCCATGACAGACTGACATCGAGGGTTTCAAGGAATTTCAAGGCGGTATTGCAGGTCCGATTGGGATGAAAAGTTGTGGGTTGCGGTGCTTGTGGCCTCCCCTTCACGGCTCGACAGGTCATGGGGAAACTGGCTTCTGGCGCTCGACCACATGCAGGAGACAATGCTGGATTCTGTCTTTCAGAAGGGTTTCGACAGGCTGTATCACACGTTTGAATCGTGAGCCGCAGTGATGAGTTCATGGAAAGCTGAAATTATTGAGTCGATGGCTGTATTGATCTCAAAAGGGTCTCGAGGTTTAGCCTTGTAATGACGTCTGATACTTCGGGACTTCGGGAGAATGTATTCCATGGTATTCCTGTATGAGGCGGTTGTACTCAGCAAGGGATCAGCCCCTTTGGTCACAAAGTTCGCTTGTGTTGGGCTAGATTAGAAGGTAGCACCTGAGATTGTTCATTTTCTGCTGATAGTCTTATTCTCTCATGGGAAAAGCATGTTCCGGCGGTGCTGTGAAGCGCCGCAAGCTACGAAAGAAGACAATGCGCGGCCTGCGTGCCGTTGGGGCACCGGCCGAATCTTGGTGGGCGATTCAAGAGGACTATAGTTTGTTGTTTGTCATGTTTTGTCTGCTTGCTCCTTGTGGTCCTAGTTCTGTTTCGTTTCCGTTTATAAATATAATTATAAGTAAATAAATAAACAAATAAGTATATATATATATATATGTGTTATGTTATATTATATAATATAACATAACACATATATATATATACGTTATGTTATATATATATATATATATTACATCATATTATGTGATATGATAGTATATTATATATATATATATACGTCTGTCTGTCTGTCTGCCTGCCTGCCTGTCTGTATGTATGTATGTATGTATGTATGTATGTATGTATGTATCTCTCTTGTTCTCTCTGTCTGTTTGTATTTCATATTTAACTTACCTTCATCTCTTCCTCTTTCTCTCTCTCTCTCTCTCTCCCTTCTGTTTCATGGAAAACTTAAGGTGATGTACATTATACTATAATTATGTATGTTCCGTGGGATCTTAGTTGTTCGAAAAGTAGTCCACGACACCTCAGGGACATTCTGGGTCTTCAGGTTTGTGTGCTGTTGCATAGCAGTAGGTTGTGGGCCTGCTGGCATCGCTTGTCTTGGACTTTGAGAAGCTGGATTGGACCCCCCTGGAGCATTGTGAGTTCTTTGCTGGGGAGATGGCTGTTACCTGTGCAGAGATAGAGGAACGGCCTTAGCGAAAAATGGTGGGTAGCTATTGAAGATCTATAGATCTAGATGTAGATATGCATGTACAATAATCCTTTTATTGCCGAGTGTTAGAATCGTACTGAATATTGAAGCAGCCCGTTGAACTCTTTATGTTCCACCCTCTCTCTCTGTCATTTATTTCAAATTATTTTCCTAGAACCTGCAGGCTTTATATCGTAAAGCCATACAGCCCGGAAGCCTCAAGCCGTAAACCCATCGTTGTATTCCCCAAGCTCCGTAAACTTTACTAAACCCTAAACCTCAAACCCTAAACCGTAAACCCTAAACCCTAAGCCCCAGGCCCTAAGC